AGGATAGAATAAATCAAAATCCTTTCTTAGCGGATGCCGACGTCATAACATCTACCTGCATGCCAAATTTCAGGCCGATCCGTCCAGTGGTTTGGGCTGTGCGTTGATAGATCACTATGTCAGTCACCTTTGAGTTATATATATATATATAGATATACTTAAAGTTCAATATAGTTTCGAATTGAAGTGTCCAAATAGCTCCTCTATACATTGCAGTATAAATTTTTCAATTTTGTTCCAATACTAAAATTAATAGTAGCATTAGAGGAAGTATGAAAGTGGCACCGGTGTCAGAGAGGTTGAAGAGTAATCGTCTATCATGGTATGGACATGTAATGCGTAGGAACGAGGATAATATTTTAAGAAAGATGTTACAAATGAATGTGGATGGTTATAAGGGCAGAGGAAGGCCAAAAAAGAGATGGATGGACTGTGTGAAAGATGATATGGTAAGAAAGGAAGTAAATAACGCGATGACTGCGAACAGGGATGAATGGAAACGAAAAACATATTACGCCGACCCCAAATAAATGGGATAAGGATGAAGCAGATGATGATGATGATGATGATGACTAAAATTAATAGTAGCATAGAGGCCATCTTTCTTAATATATTTAATACTCTATTACGTTAAAACAATGGTGTCTCATTAAAACAAACGCATAACCTTTTTTTTATTTTCTTACAGGTTACATGGTTAAATTTCCTTACAGCTTTAATTGTAGGTGAAAAATCTTAATCATTCCAATAAGTATGGGAGGTAAGAAGATCGGAGAGTAACCTGATTTTAGATATAAATAGTAAATGAATGTTTTACAATCATATGAAATAATATACTCAGTTGTGTTGTTATGAAAATAGTTTAAATTTATTACAAGCAATTGTTCTCAATAACTATAATAACACTATTAGTATATATTTTTTTTTTATAACCTTTTTTATGACTTTCATTTACATAAACTAAAGTATCAAAGTATAAGTAGATATTTTTTTTTTATAACACAGGTGACAAACGAGCATGCGGCTCACCTGATGGCAAATGATTACCGCCGCCCATGAGCACCCGCTACACCAGGGGAATTGCAACTACGTTGTCGGCCTTTTAAAAAGGAATAAGCTCTTTTCTTGAAGGTTTCGGTTCTGAATGCGGTCAAATGGAAGTAGCTGGTATTGTGGTGCTCCCGCCCAGAGATGAGAACAGTATTCCATGTGCGGCCGGATCTGCGCCTTGTATAATTGCAAGCGATGGGCCGCCGTGAAATACCGTCTCACTCTACAGAGCACACCAAGCTTTTTTATTATTTTTGATATATATTTAGAAAATATATATCAAAAATTGTCTACGCAAGGAAAGGAGAGTTTTCAAACACTGTGTAGTAGATTTTATCCGTATTAATAGTTAACGATGGTTCCAGTAATATTTCGCAGATGTTTGGACTTTTTTGGTTTCAGCATATAAGTGTGCAATTATTACATGATAAAAATTTGTCTTCTAAAATACAGTTGACTACTTTATACGTCATACTTGTGAACGATACTGCAACTGATTTTTTTAGTTAGTATAATTATATTCAAAATGTCATAACTTTTATTATATTGTGTTAATAGTTTGTATTCACACAAAACTATTAATTTGTATAATTATTAGGTAATAATTGAGTTTCTCTTCTATTCTTCATCGTTAAATCTTTATATAAGGCTGATGATAAAAAAAAACATACGTAATAAGTGCTTATAATTAACTTTATTTGAAATATTCTATACTTAGTCTCTTACTATTACAAACAAAATATATAATATATCATTTAAATACTAGTTTTTGGTAGTCAGTTATCATCCCGAAAATAATTTTACAATCGATATATCTTTTACAAAGTCGTTTTTAATAAACGTATACAATTTTACAATGAATTAGTATTAGGATATAAAGAGATTATTTATTATTTTTAAATTATGTTTACTACTCAAAAATATAAATAATTACAAAAAGAAAATTTACGATAGGTTAATAAGCTTTTTAAATAGAAATATTGCATTTAAATACATTTTAATAAATTAATAACATATTAACTTTTTTCAGACAAAGGACCAACGATATACTGCTATTATTCAGGGTGACGATTCCGCAAATTACGACTAATAAGTGCTGCCAAATTAATATCATTGATTCTGTATTTATCACTTATTTTTTTATTACTAACGCTATTGGGTCCGTTGGGAATATTTTTTAATACATTATTATTCGCGCTAGCAGCCATCATTAACCGTTGTATGGCGGACTCCTTCAATATTTCCGCCAAATACAATTTATTATCTGTCCTCGCCGCCATCTTTGTTGGTGTTTTCCGAAGCGCAGAGACAATGGAGTGAATTTTTTCTGACGACAACGGCGTGTGTTTAAACGAGGATATGCTAATCTCGGTGTTTTTTGTTGGCGTATGCTCAGATTTTGTTTGTAGTATCTGTGCTAGAGTGCTCTGTAAAAAAGTCAATTTAGATTAAAAATTATACAGCTACAAACTTTAATTTATTATGATTTTTTTACGTAATTGAATCAAAAACATTGATGTCCTGATTTGTAGACCGTCACCTATAAATATAAAAGGCCCTACAAGCATGTAATATAACTCATGTGTTGCCATTCTAGCGGACTAAGATGTCTAGATTAAAAAGTTTCATCAAAATCCGTTCAGTAGATTTTCTGTGAAAGAGTAACATACATACTTACAAACTTTTGCGTTTATAATATTAGTAAGATATGGGTACAAAATACGAGAACTTTTTATTACAAATTTATCTTCAAAATATGTTTTGGATTATTATTATACATATATTTAATTCAGTTTTGTTGAAGTTATTTTATAATATATAATAATATATCGTAAGTCTATTGGCATATACTCTAATATGTTATTTTATTTTTATTTACTAGTTGACTCTCCCAACTTCGTCTGCGTGTCTACTTGTCATTTATCATTATATTTCGCCCAATTTATAAATATCTTTTTAAATTATAGCCAATGTGTTATTCTGATGTATAAACTATACTACTTACTATAGAAGATCTGCGTCACATATTAATGGAGTGTGTCCGACACAATGTTAAAAGGGAATTGTATTTAAAAACTTTTGGACTGAATCGACTTGATGTTGGTATGTACCACGGCATACTATCTGATCCTGTATCATCGCCAGCAAAATTTTTATTTTTATTGTACAGTAGAAGATAAGATTGGTAATAAGATAATGCCAATCCCATCGTGACTGGCATTATCATATTATTATAAAAGAATCTAAATAAATGTAAGAATACAAAAAAAAGCTATATTACTGTAAAGTTTCAACAAAATCCGTTCAGTAGTTTTTACGTGAAAGAGTAACAAACATCCACCCATACTTACAAAACTTTCGCGTTTATAATGTTAGCATTATGTTATTCACATCGTTACTAATATTATAAATGCGAAAGTAACACTGTCTGTCTGTCTCGCTTTCACGTCAAAAGTACTGCATTGATTTAAATGAAATTTGGTACATAGATAGTCTAGACACTGAGAAAGGACATAGGCTACTTTTTAATGCGAAAAAAGGGTTGTAAGGGGGTTGAAAGTGGGAATGAAATAGTGTATGGAAGTATCGTCATTTTTGAAGCTAGAAGCTGTAAACTTATTTTTGGGGGTGTTGATTAAATATAAATAAAAATTACATTAAAAGTATGTAAAAATTTTACTCCTAAGGAGGTTAAAAAAATAAGGGATGCAAGTTTTTATGTAAATTCGTCATTTTGGAGGTGGAAGCTTGAAACTTATTTCTTATGCTGTTGATTGAATTTTATGGAATTTTGTACTGTCATTTTTGAAGCTAAAAAGACCAAACTTTTTTGACTTTGACTTATATTGAGTTAGGTCATTTAATATTTTTTCATTAGCTAGTCTGTAATATTAGTAACATTTGTTTATGGAGTGTCATGTAAAAGCCAGTTACAGTTTTCAATAATGGCTTAGATCCCGGCATTAGATAAATAATTACGCTTTTCTTTCCTGGCATTATTTAAAAAATTAAACAGAAATGGTTATTGTAACATTACCTAGCTACATACTACATACCATACTACTTTCTACCCTATCCACAGTTAAAAAGACTATGTTTTCATTTTTTTGGTTAATGCATTTTAGTATTTTATATTTTATAATAAAAATAACATATAATAGGTACTTACAGGGGGGAAGGGGACTGTTAGTAATGTGGACTAATGATCTCATTGCTAGCAATGTACCATGTCAGATCGACCTCCACGCGGTACCCCCTGGAAACCATCGTGATCGATGGTTTCCAGGGGGTACCGCGTGGAGGTGAACCACAAATTGTCACGTTGTGCTAACTGATCTGACTTCATGTTCATCTTATCATCCTCCACTGGTGCCCCGCCAGCGTAAACCGTTAGCGCAGGCGAGTGCACCATTCCATTATCATCCTTTAAAAAAAAAAATAGGTACTTACAGCAACTAATAAGATTTGTATCAGAACAAAACACGACGATTTGAACATTTTGTATGTATTTGTGCAAATGATATGTTCTACAACCAATCTCAGGTTTAAGTATTAACTCCTTATCTGATTTATACTATCTATGTACAATATCAATAGTTACATAATTAAATATTTAGAAACCTGATTATATTGTGAATATTATGACATGCAAAATATTATTCAAAGCTACTAATAATAATATTGTACAATTCACACAGCGCCATCTAGTACCAAGCTAAGTAGAGCTTGTGTTATGGGTACTAGATAACTGTTATAAATACTTAGATACATTTTTTTTTGTACATATACATACGCTCTCTATCTCTCTCTTTATAACCCTCAACACCAGACCCTAAATGACCGTTTAAAAAAAAACACAAATTTTTGTAAAATCACCGATTCCCAGACGATCAACGATCCGATTTACATCGGAAAAATGCGACAGGCCAGGTCTTTTATTTGTGTAATAGATGTATAGAGAACGTGTTCCTAAAGGATACACGGTGCGTTTACTAAGTAGAAAGATGTGTATACTTTTGAATACACAGTGTTCCAGACACTGCATGACAAAAAGATACACATGGCGCCTAAGGTGTTAATATTACAAATAAAAGAAAACAAAATTTTGTATCACATTATTTTATTATACAAAAGGTGGTTTTATCCTCTTACTGCAGCTCACACCTGAACGTGATGGTTGGCGTGGTGGATTGGCTAATGGCGGGAAAGAGACATCAGGTGCTGGGAATGGACTTGTCAATATCGGCAATGGATCTTCTAATGGAGGTAGCGCATTATCCAGCACCGGTAATGGACCAAACAGAGCCGCTATTACATCTGGGCTTGTTAATTCTGCCAGGGACGGTGGACTCACTGTTGGGTCTAATGAACTTGTCAATACCAGCAATGAACTTAATAATGTCGGTAATGGATCTATTAAAGGCGCTAATGGACTTACTGGTGTCAGTAATACATCTGTTACTTCCGGTAATGGGTTTGCTAGTACTGGTAATGGAGTTGCCAATGGTGGTAGTGGACTTATTGCTGGCGGTAATGGGTTTGCTAGTACTGGTAATGGAGTTGCCAATGGTGGTAGTGGACTTATTGCTGGCGGTAGTGGGTTTGCTAATACTGGTAATGGACTTGCCAATGGCGGTAGTGGATTTACTGCTGGCGGTAAGGGACTTGCCAATGGCGGTAGTGGAGTTACTGCTGTTGGTAATGGACTTACCAGCAGTGGTTGTGGATTTGGTTGTAATGGTAATGGACTTGCCAATGGCGGTAGTAGAGTTACTGCTGTTGGTAATGGAGTTACTGCCGGCGGCAGTGGAGTTACCGCTGGCGGTAACGGACTTGCCAATACCGGTAAAGGGCTTGGCAGTAGCGGCTGTGGACTTACTGGTGGGGGTATTGGACTTGCCATTACCGGTAATGGGCTTATTAATGGCGGCGCTGGGATTACTGCTGATGGTAAAGGACTTATTAGTGGTGGTAATGGGTTTGCTGGTAACGGACTTGGAGGTGGTGGATTTGGTAGCGGATATGGTGTAGCTTTGGCAGGAGCATCTGGATATGACTTGGAGAAATGGCATTTGATGCCATTTGTGTAGTAGTCCTGAATTGACTGCGATGCTAACGTCTGAGAAAAAAAAATGCTATATTATGAATGAATGAATGACATAGAAATGACACAAACAATCATATTCATGAATCCAAATGTTTGTATCGTCGGAATCGAACCCGCGACCATCAGAAGTCGAGCAGTGTGCTAAACCGCTTTAGCACACTGCTTGACCTCTGACGGTTGCAGTCTTCGGACAGTCACGAATACAAATATTTGTGCCGTGCGAGGAATCGAATCCGCGACCGTCGAACATAAAGCGGTGTGCTAGACCGCTAGACCACAGAGGCCGTCAGTTTATTAATTGTACCAATCTTCTATCATTGTATAATGCAAATACAGCATATTCTACCTTTGTATCTATTTCACAATCATATTAATTAAAGTCATCATTCTGCCTTGTTTGTATTCATATGTAATGCATATATAAACAAACAGTATATTATGTAATTGTTATTTTAGTTTATTTTACATAAACAGAATTGCATTCATCACATTCTTGAACTTGACCGTGTATATACTTATATTATATACTAGCTGACACTCGCAACTTCGTCTGCGTTTAATTTCCTCACCTTTTGCAATATTTTTCATTGCAGCTCCGCTCCTATTGATCATAGCGTAATGTTATATAGCTTAAGGCCCTCCTCGACAAATGGACTATTTAACACAAATAGAATTTTTCAATTCGAACCCGTAGTTTCTGAGATTAGCGTGTTCAAACATACAAACAAACTCTTCAGCTTTAAACTATTAGTATAGATTTGAATTATTAATTACTAGTCGCCCCGGCTTCGCTCTGGTGTTCATGTATTATATATATAAAACTTCCTCTTGAATCACTCTATCTATTAAAAAAAGCTCTTTAAAATCCGTTGCGTAGTTTTAAAGATTTAAGCATACATAGGGACAGACAGCGACGGCGACTTTATTTTTACTATGCAATGTACATATATGTACACTGCATAGTACATACATATATGTACATACATATAAATTTCAATCACGTTCTTGTATTCTTGAACTTGACCGTTTTTATCATATATTTCAATTAAGAATTATACAAATTTCACAATGAGAAACGTTTATCTATTTTTTTTTCCTACGATGGTGGCAAACAAATATATGGCCCATCTGTTGGTAAACGGTTACCGTAGACTATGGACACCTGAAACACTAGGGGAGACACGTGCGCGTTGCCAACTCTTACGAAACCTTCATATACCATTCTTGAAAAACCCCATAATGTAGTCTCTCGTTGTCGAGAGACGCTCGCACAGGGCGACGGTAAACATCTACTATCAAGTTGGCTTGTTTAATTGCCACTTCAGTTTCATAAAAAAAGAATAGTTTATTTCTGTTGTCACTTCCGGTTTTTAAAAAATGCGGCACAAGATGGCGGCCTACGAACAGAGTCGGACAAAACAGGGATTATACAGATAGCTCGATAACGGAACGGACGAATTGTCCGTGTGTTTCTAATATCAAAAGTGGAATGACACTCATTGGTCACTCACAGTTTCATTGGTATCATCAGTTGAAACCATAAAATAATCAAAATGGATAAGTTTTCAAGGACGAAACATGTGCAAAACGGGCGATTGTTATCATTTCCTGTTTTTGAGACCAATGGGGCACAAAATGGCGGCCTATGAACAGTGACTCGTACAAAATAGGGTTTATGCAAACGGAACGGATGAGCTGTGCGTGTGATTATAATATTCCTCTGGGAGATAAATAAAATCTTACCTGAATATATAAAATATTAAATACTAATATATACATTTTGACTTCCATTTTCAAGAAACTAGATCACAGTGTAACATGGGACGTGGTTTAGTCTATTTGAAGATTTATTATATCGCGATTACGTAATCCATAGTGTTGTAGACCCTTGTGCATTGCACGTTGTAACGGCTGTGGCAACAACGCAAACAAAATGTTTAATGAAACATTTATCAAAAAAATTACTTAATATTAAATTTATAATTATTGCAGTGCAATACATAACGATAAAGTTATTGTTTACTCTGTGGCAATAGAGAAGGAATTAGAATTTATGATAGCGTTATTTAATTATAAGTAAGCAATTCATTACTGAAAATAAAACCATAAACGTGTAATTTCAACAATATTCACAATCAAAATGATTGTAATTTTGATCATTCAAATGTATTTGCAAAGACATTTGTATGTTCGTTACTCAATCACACCTTAATAGGTATTACGATTTGAATAATATTTAGTATTTTAAATCTATGAACGTTTAATTTCAATAATATTCAAAATAAAATGGATTGTACGTTTATAAAGATATTTGAATGTTCGTTACTCAATCGCGCCTGCATAGTTAATAGGATTTCAATGATATTTAGTAAATCTATGAACGTTTATTTTCAATATTATTCAAAATAAAATTGATTGTACGTTTATAAAGATATTTTAATATTCGTTACTCAATCACACCTAATTAGTTAATAGCATTTGAATGATATTTAATAAATGCATGAACGAGTAATATCAGACTGATTGTAAGATTGCAAAGACATTTAAATGTTCGTTACTCAATCACACCTAAATAATTAATAGAATTTCAATGATATTTAGTAAATCAATGATTATTCCATTTCAATTTGAATTGAAAATAAAATTTATTGTACGTTTATAAACACATTTGAATGTTCGTTACTCAATCATACCAAAATAATTAATAGAATTTCAATGATATTTAGTAAATCAATGAACGTTTATTTTCAATAATATTCAAAATGAAATTGATTGTACGTTTTCAGAGACATTTGAATGTTCGTTACTCAATCACGCCTAAATAATTAATAGAATTTCAATGATATTTAGTAAATCTATGAACGTTTATTTTCAATATTATTCAAAATAAAATTGATTGTACGTTCGCAAAGACAGTTGAATGTCGTTACTCAATAACAACTAAATTTACATTATCTATGTCAATGGGAAAATAGCAACTAAATAGGTAATAGGATTTGAATGATATTTAATAAATTTATGAATAAATAATTTCATAATATTCACAATTACTGATTCCACATTCGATGATATTTAGTAAATATGTAGTTAGATCTTGTCATAGATCCATACATTACATATGTTACCCGGATTTACATGGACTAAATTGCGCGATAGGTAATATAGATGGCTATGGTGGTATAGCGAATACAAAGCATTACAAAAAAACAATACAAAAATTGTTTTTATGAGTATAATTGTTTGTAGTCTGTGTGTTTTCTATGTATATTATTTATGTATTTACAAAAAATGTATATAAGTAATTGTATCAGTCGTTTAGTACATATAACTCAAGCTTTAAGCTCTGCTTAGGTTAGGACTAGATGGCGCTTTGTAGCCTGTCCAAGGTCATTATTGTACTCTCAATAAGATTTCAATTGTCATATTTATCAATGTGTTTCATTCGAATCTGTTCAGCTGTTTAATCATAATTTAGGACGATCATACAAACTCTAGATACTCAGTTACATTTATTTAGAACTAGCTGTTTCCGCGACTTCGTCCGCGTGGAATTTTATTTTATTTTTCTGAAATAAAAGTACCTAGGTTACTCCTTATTACAGCAGCTACCTGCCAAAAAAGTCCCGTCAAAATCGGTCCAGCCATTTCTGAGATTAGCCGGAACAAACAGACAGACAAAAATTGTAAGAAACGATATTTTGGTGTATGTACTGTATTTATATTCATACGCATGTAGTAACGAACGGTAATATCAATATTACAAACAGACACTCCAATTTTATTTATATGTATAGATTAAAAGTAATTATGTTATTAAATTATATAATAACAAAACTAATCATCCCGATCGATTCCCTGTCCAATTCAAACAATTACTTAACATAGGTTCGTAAAAAGATAAAAAGGAAATAAATCATTATTATAACATTATCACTGTATTATTGTAGTATCATACCTTATAATATTATTAAATAATATACATTTCAAACACTGAAAGCTTTTCTGAATTCTGTACAAGTTTTACAATAATGTACTGTACAAGTAAGTTCCGGAATTTACTTAAGTTATAAAACAAAATCGGCGATCTTACTTTATAAATTTAGTATTGTATTTGGGTAACAGCATTTTCTTGCGCAGCATTTCGCCTGGAATTTAACTATTATTTTATTAAAATGAATATAATTTCTAAAATAAAAGTTTATATAATCTCAGGGGCATCGCAGGTCTTACTTTAGACCATAGGTGAATCACGGTTTAGAGATAAACTTAGTTTTGTAATAAGGAATACTTTGGTCAATCGTTTATTACTAGTGCTAAACCATACCTGGTTTAGCATCTTTTTGTAATAAAACAGACAAAGTTTATAATATTACTATAGATAGATATTATATAATTAAGTAACAGGTAAATAAAATAAAAGAAAATGTATAAAAAAACATATTTTATTCTTTAAAAATATTACATAACTATATGGAAGGTGGAAGAATTGGTATTTTCCTCAAATACTCACACCTGCAGTTGCAAGGGTATGCAGGAGGCAATCCAGCGGGGAATGGGGGTGCCAAAGCAGAAACAGGGGACGCCACTGGCAATAATGGGTTTGCCAGACCAATTGGCATGGCTATTTCTGGCAAGAACTCGCAGGGCGCTCTGTCCAAGCAACTTATAGGTGGAGGCATAACTGGCAATGGTGGTAGAACTAGGTGGTCGTGAGCTGCCGGCATGAGTAAGTGGCTTCTAACCTGAAATAATTACTTTTAATTAATAAATTAAGTCAAAAATCATTTATTCATGTAGGATATTTTGGACGCTTATGAACGTCAATTTCTTGTTGAGAAAAACTGGCAAGACACTTTTTTTAAGACCTTATTTACATTGTACTTATGTAGGCGTCCATGTCTAACATTATTACCTAACAATCAATAAGAAATATAAATTAACCAGTTTTTAAGCCAGTTTTTTGGTATCTGCCACATTCGAACTCACTGCCTTTTGTATCTAAGCCCCTGGAGTAAACTAGGTCATCAGGTAAAATACCATCCTGATCATCTGGATGAACGGCGGTCCTCTACCGTGCGTTTTTCTAGAAACTGGTGTGCCACGCACTACCACATTGTGGAATCACCTTCCAGCAATAGTATTAGTAGAACCGATACGATATTGAAATCTTCAAGAAAATAGCATATTCCTTCGTAAAGGCCTGATGTTGCTAATTCCCCTGGTGTTGCGGGTGCTCATGGGCAGCGGTAATCACTTACCATCAGGTGAGCCGCAAGCTCGTTTGTCCCTTATATGAAAACAAAGGTCATCAGAAATCACAAAATAGTAGTTATACAAAGAAATACTTACAGCATTGCAGAGTGCAAATATCAAAACTATACGTCCATACATGTTTACCGTTTGATTTCAACCTGTGCTCACTGTTACTATTAACCCACTGTGTTACTTTATGTACCTGCCATTTATTCGTTTATCATATTGATTAACCTATTTTCCAATACAATAGACACATATACGAAGAAATAATGTATTGCATTTCAAAAGGATTTTGTAATTATTTCGGCAAAAAGTGTTATGTATAATAGATAAAGCTAATTTCTATGGCAGTAAAGTTATTATGATTAACTAGCTGTGTCTACGGAGTCACGTGCATGAAATTTATAGCCTATGTGTTAGTCTGATGTATAAGATATATTACTATAAAGTTTTTTCAAAATGCGTTCAGTAGTTTTTGCTGGAAAGAGTAATCTATCTATCTATCTATACTCAGAAACTTTCGCCTTTATAATATTAGTAAGAAGAAAGATACAGCGATAAGAAGTTCTTAATAGAAATTATGTATTTACAAAAAAAATCTACTGAAGTATTCAATCAATTGTCTAGTATCTATAACACAAGCTGTGCTTAGCTACCAGATGGCGCTGCCTGAATTGTCAAGGGTTATTATTACGTACAAGTTTGTAATAATTCAGTAAATAACTTTGGAATAATTCTTTATAATCTATACAAGAAGCTTAATCCCATATTTAGTAGAGGTAGACTGTAAAGGGTCGGTTGAGTACGTTTGAAGTACCTCAGTCTCATCTCATCAGTAGGTTTGCAAGCTGAGTTTCAGTTGTAGGTTACAGATAAGGCACTGACATTACAGGATAAGAGGCATAACAGCTTAGTCTTCTGGAATGGTAACGCTTAAGTGGTATCACAGGCATTAAATGTTAACGTGATGTACTTAGTTTTGTTCATGAACATAGGCGACGGTGACCGTTTACCATCAGGGCTGTTAGTCAGCCTTTCCGATTTTCCGATCTCAAAAGAGATAATAGTTTCTTGCTCATTCTTCTTGTGATGAATCTGCATTCCGAATGAGTGGTAGAATAAAAATCTTATTCTGGATACTAACCACTTAAAACGTTTTGGACACAACATATAGGTAGTCTAAAATGAATAAATATGTGAGAATCGAAACTGCGACCATCATAATTTATAACATCAGTAAGTCATCGTCAGTAAACCAGAAATTAAAAGCAGTTAACCCCACTTAATTAACACATAATGTACGACTTACTTTAGATTGAAATCAGTTTTTCCTTCATCGGAAAAATTGTCAGCAACATTCAAATTTTTTTTTTATATTTACCAGATTTTAACTCACAACCTTTTGAGTGTAATTAGGATAATAAAATAAACTCAAAATAAAAAGTAATAAATCAATATAAATAGTAACTTTATTATAACATTTATTATATAAATCAGTAAGTATAAATATACATAATATAAATATAAATAAGTATAAATATACAAAAATTACACGTACGGAGGAGTATGTAATTCGCACACTTACAGTTTATATAGAGAAGAAGTGCAGAAGGCTAATATTATTTAAAAAATAATACACCAAAAATACATTATATCAATGAAAAAAAACATTACACACACTACCATGTATTTGACACACACACGCGAATGTACGAGTATACTCTTTTGTTTATTTTAGTCTGTGGTCAAATTGAGAATAGATTAATATCGTCTTTAATATTTATTGCCAATAGAATCACTAACAGTCGTATCAACGTTTAAAGAACATAATAGAAGAACATGGAATGGGAGGGGACGCCCTAAGAAAAGATGGATGGATTGTGTGAAAGATGATATGAATAAAAGAAGAGTATGTTCAGATATGACGACCGATAGAGAGCAGTGGAAGAGAATGACATACTGCGCCGACCACAAATAATGGAATAAAGGCAAGGCAATGATGAATACAAGAACATGGAATATGACAAGAGCTCCACCGACAAGAGCGCAGCTCTTAAATTATGAATGAACCTTAATAATGTTCAAATTAATAATTTAAATTAATTAATGGTCGAATTTCGACTGGGTAACTAGTTATAACAAATCTACAACGATGGCGGTGGAATAGGTATTTTCCTTAAGAAATGACTCCGTACTTGCGTAGGGTTAACTGGCGGTAACATATTCGAGGTTGGCGGTGCCATTGCTGAAACAGGCGACGCCGCTGGCAAGAACGGATTAACAATTGGCGCCGGAGCTGGGTATGCACAAGGGGCAGAGTACGGATAAGGGTATACTTTATTTGGAACTACAGGTTGCGAACAGGGTACAGAAAAAACTTCGGGTACTGGCGAAACACACGGCGCCATTGGCATTGGCACTGCTATTTCTTGTATCGCTGGTACTTCTATAATTTGCTGACCGATAATTGGACGGGGTTGTAGTTTTAAGTCAGCTAGTGATCTCATTGGCAACTGTTGTATTGCCTTTGGCACGGCTATTTCTGGCTTTCCAATAGCGGCTATTTGTAGCATTTCCATCGCTTTATTAGCGCTGGTCGGTGATAGAATGTTTCGGAGTATGGATGCCATTTGATTTTGTCGGCTGCTCGCGATCGCTGCCATTGCTAACTGCGTTATGGAAGCAATTATTAATAAACAGGCTAGTTTATTTTTTGCCATGTTAATCTGAAAAATAAAAAATATTTATGTCATTTGACGGCCTCGGTGGTCTAACAGTTTAGCACACCGCCTTCCTTCCGATGTCTGCGGATTCATTCCTCGAACGGTATAAACATTTGTATTCATGACTATAATTATATAGATTTGTCTGGGTGTTTCCTATACATATTTACAAAAAAATGTATATAAGTATTTATGTTAGTTGCCTGGCACCTATAATATACAACCTTTATTTAACTTGGGACTAGTTAGTGTGAATTGTCCAGGATTATGATTATTATGCAAGAAATGCTGCAGAAAATGTATAACAATATATCTGTACTGAATTATAATAAATTAAAGGCGTAATTATAAAAAAAATATATATTTTTATATCTAGCACAGCTATTAAGCAGATCAAGGAAAAAGTTAGAGTCTTGTCGTATTAAAAACTAAAAATATTGATGCAAAATCGTAAAAAATGGCATGAGCTCCACCAACTAGAATGCGGTGCTTAAATTATGAATTAAACCTAGATTAATATTTGAGTAAAGTCATTTATCGTCACGCTACAATCTTTAGGAGACGAGCAGAAAGAAGTTGATATAATAATGTAATTACTTACCTATTACAATTAAACAATACGTTTGATGCGTTGACAGATAAAATAGCTCTTTATATAAAATGCATATATCGCAATTTCAACGATATATTAACATGATTGCAAGAGATAATGTCAGTTATTTCATTGACTTTATCTGAAGATTACTACATTTTAGATTCATAGAAAAAAAATGCTATTACCTGATTTTTTATTTCTTTTTTTCATTTGATGTCCTCGATGGTCTGGCGGTTTAGGACAGCCCCTTACTTACGTTGGTCGCAGATTTGATAATTCGCATGATGGATTTGTATTCTAGGGTGTGATTGTTTGTATCGGTCTGTGTGTTTTTTGTGTATATAATGTATGTATTTACTGAATATACATATTTATCTATATCTATCAGTTGCCTAGTACCCATAACACTAGCTCTGCTTAGCTCGGACTAGATGACGCTGTGTGTTTGTCCGGAAATTTTATTATTATAAATGTAATGTTAAATGGCAAAAAAACTGGCAGCCCACCTGATGGTAAGTGGCAATCGTCACCTATATACATGTACAGCACTACAGACATCACTTTATCATGTGACACCCGTGATATCACTATTCCAGAGGAATAAGACGTCACATTCGAAGTTTCTTCTATTGATTCACAGATGCCACTAGAGGGATAAGAATATCAAGCTAGCACAAATCCAATCAAATCAAAATATCTTTATTTTGATTTGATTTGATTGATAGCTTTTTTACGAACTACTCTAATGCTATTGGCCACAGCTGGCCTTTACAACTTCACCGGACGTTAGGGGGCGAGTGCAGATGGCACTCCAAACCCGCGGAAGGACTTATGGAGCGGCTGATGGCCAACTCCTGCTTGAGGGATACGACTTTAGTCTGAGGGCATCACTAGGGGTTCGAACCTCGGCTCAGGCCGTCGTAATTTTGATCCCCGTTTAAATTGGACGGGGAATCGATTGGAGGGGTTGATTGATAGCACCCTCTGTTATTTATATTAGTACTAGCTGTGCCCGCGATTTCACCCACGTGATATTTATACTCTTGTATACTCTTCCTTTTAAGCCTTAATTAATTTTTTAGTATAGGCCTCCTTCCATCCTCTCCATTTTATTCTATTTAAAACTATACTCTATGGTTTTAAAATTAGATGCATTTACTTAACTTAAGTAATTGTGAGTACAAATATGTTTACATAACAATAACATATACATACTTAAAATAACTAAATAGATTTTTTTATTCGTTTCTCTGGAAGGATCTATATCACAGTTAGGTTTATACTAATCATAGTCTATATGTTATTCTGAAGTATATGCTGCATAACTGTAAAGTTTCAAGTAAATCTGTTCAGTAGTTTTGGCGTGAAAGAGTAACAAACATTCATCCATACTCATAAACTTTCGCGTTTATAATATTATTATATTAAGATTAAGATAATTCATAATAATCATCATAATCATCATCTCAGCCCGGAAGACGTCCACTGCTGAAGAAAGGCCTCCCCTAAAGATCTCCACGACGATCGGTCCTGCGCTGCTCGCATCCATTTCCTTTCAGCGATCCTGACTAGATCGTCGGTCCACCTTGATGGAGGCCTTCCCACGCTGCGTCTTCCGGTCCGCGGTCGCCACTCATCGCCCCAACGGCCATCTGTCCTATGAGCTATGCGCCCGACTAGCTCGTTCAAACAAAACTTTTAGCTTTAGTATCTTATATAAAATTCTCGTGTCACAATGTTAGTTACCATACTCCTCCCAAACGGCTTGATAGATTTTCATAAAATTTTATATGCATATCCAGTAGATCTGAGAATCGGCTACTATCTATTTTACATACCTCTAAGTGGTAAGGGATATCCACCCGTAAATATATATATATTTTTTTTATCTATGTCGAAACATAAAATTTATTATTATTTATGATTGAAAAAAACATACAACCCTAAATTTTCATCCATCTATCACAACCCCTATTTTTTATAGAGTAATAACGCTATAAAAATTATAAATTTATATGGCAAAACACCGTTTGCCGGGCCAGCTAGTATTAATATAAATATTCCACTGGAATATCATATATAGAGGTATCGAGACTTTATGCTATCAGATCTGGTGTCAATGAGTTGAGTTACCATTGGGCGAATACTCGATCTGGGCTCTGTATGAAGTAGAAACCTTAGTTATTACTGTATTAGGGAGTGGAAGGGGATTGTTAATGTGGACTGCTGACCCCATTGCTGGCAATACCATTTTATGTTCACCTCCACGCCGTTCCAACAGGAAACCATCGATAAATTCATGCTGCATTTGTTACGATGGACTAACTAACCTGACATGTGTACATTAGTATGATTGGCTGTATTGATCTAGATTTTTTCTAAATGTATTATTTATTTGTATAATAGTCTGTTGTCTGATACCTATAACACAAGCTCTGCTTACCTAGAGGCTAGATGGCGATGTGTAAATGGTCCAGGGATATTATTATTACTAAATATTAAAAAAAAACCTACATAATACAAAATCTACTGAACAGATTTTGGTGAAAATTTTTAGTAATATACATTCTACATCGGAATAAAACATAGGCTATTTTAAAAGATATTATTTAAATTGGACGAAATATAATGACAAAATATGTTGAGTAAATGTTATAATGAGGAAGTTGCGCGTGTCACCTAGTAAATAAATAATTACAGTAGGTAGGTAGGTAAAGAGTATATAGTTATGCGTTTTCTCTTTAAACCTGAAATTGGCCGATTGCGAGACAAATTTGAACATTTCTGTTCTTTTTTTTATACTACGATGGTGGCAAATTTCTATTATGACAGCCAAGTATTTGCATTTTTAAAATTAAATTATGGCACTATTGGAAATAATTTTTGGTTGCTAAGTATACACATACAAAGAAGTAAACTACAGTTTATTGTTTTTTTATTCATAATTTATTATTTTTCTTTCTTGTAACATAAAAGACACATAAATATTATTATCAATATTGAAATATGATATTTTTCATAATGAATTCATTTTACAAAAATGGCGGCTGTACTACCACTTGTCTTAAATATTTCGTGCATCCCAGAACAGGTGGGAGTGGTGGCAAAGTACATCCGCAAGTGGGTATTCCACATCCGCAAGATGGCGCTGGTTTTATGGGTGTAATGTACGCACCACAATCACAATTTGGTACTCCACAACCACAGGCAGGAGTAGTATAATATGTTGGGGAATCTAAAACTGTACATCCGCAGTTAGGTACGCCACATCCGCATGAAGGTAAACCTCCACAAGTGGGTATATTACATCCGCATGAAGGTATACCGCATCCACAGGACGCCAGCTCAACACCGGCCGAGAAAAAGCCATTAGATCCACAAGATGGTACTTCAACCGCTGGTGAGAAGTATGTGGGAACTTCAATAATACGTGGTGAACATCCGCAGTTAGGTACCTTACATCCGCAAGCAGGTTCTAGTGGTGCCAGTATAGGTATATCCGGAATGTAGGGTAGGTTTGCGGAACACCCGCAGGTTGGTGATGCAACTCCCCCAAGAATGGGTAAATTTCTCAGCGGGCTGGTTTTTTTCAAAATTGCTCCATTTGTCTGTAGCTGAAAAATAAATATTACTTTTTAAATACGATTTAAAGAAATAGCCATAAATTAGTCTCTACTATTAGGAACGCAGTATTTCAATCGTAAATTAATAAAATACATTAACCTAACCCAATAATCGAACTGAAGAGCCCAAAAGTCTGGAAATGTATCTATTATTAACTGAATCAATGAAGGTCTCAATATTTTATTACAATGAAACTTTTACATTTGTGTATTAAAGAATACAAAAAAAATTGTGCTTATGTTTAACTAACTCTCCGGAAATGAAAACACCTATAACAATGTAATTTAAGCTAAGAGATGATGGCAGATTCAACTTCAAATGATTAAAGAGTTCAACGAAATGTAGGCATAACGACTTGTAGATTTACCATAATGTGAGATTAGTAATACTTCTAACTATACCACCTAGAATTATAGTCGTAACTATATCAATATATGTATACTCACAAATAAACAGGCGGAAAACAAAATATACAGATATTGTGAATTCATCGTATCAGTTTACAAACTATAATATAAACTTACAGTGTATTCTCTTGCCTTTTATACCTATTTAATGATTACAAAAAAAATTACATACAATATCTATGGATTTTTGTAATTAATTATTAACAATAATAGATAATATTCCTGGACAATATGACTCAAGATATACAAGAATTTTATCAAGCAATGCACAATATGATGCCTCCAGTGTTGTAAGAGTGTAAATATTGTAATGTGTCGTTTAGTATCAGACAGGCCGTATAGAAAAATAGAAATAATCTATGTTCAAATACATAAACTTAATATAAGTAATTTTGAAGTTTTTTTACTATTATATCATTCATCCGGAAAGCTGAGTATTAATAATAAAAAATACTTTTATAAGTCTCGGTAGTCTAGCAGTTTAGAACACCATCTTATGTACGATGGTCGCGAGTTCGATTCCTCACACAGTACAAATATGAGTATGATTGTTTGTATTGGTCTGGGTGTTTTCTATGTTTATTATGTATGCATTTACAAAAAATGTATTTGTGTATTTATCAGTAATCTAGTACCCATAACACAAGTTGATTCTTGATATGCTCACATTTTGCTGGGTGAAAGAATCTCAAAATACATAAAACTATTTATCTATACATACTACACACATAAATAAAATTCGAGTGTCTGTTTGTAATATTGAAATAACCGTTTTTTACTACACGCATATTAATATAAATACGGTACATACACCAAAATAATATTTTTTACAATTTTTGTATGTCTGTCTGTCTGTTTGTTCCGGCTAATCTCTGAAATAGCTGGACCGATTTTGACGGGACTTTTTTTGGCAGGTAGCTTATGTAATAAGGAGTAACTTAGGCTACTTTTATTTTTGAAAAATAAAGTTAAATTCCACGCGAAGTCGCGTGAACGGCTAGTTCTGAATATAACAAAAGAAAACCGAATTGCGTGTAATTATAAGAATGTAAACTAAGTTGTAAACTCTATTGGCGGGAGGAGGAAAAGGTATAGTACGTAATGTGGACTAATAAGCACATTGCTAGCAATTTAAGTATTGTCATATTGACTTTCATGAAAATTTTAAGTGAATTTGCCACGAATGGTTGACTGACCTAACCGCAAATTCATCTTATCATCCTCCACTGGTACCCTTAACCCTTTAGCTCAGACGGGTAGACTATTATTATCAACCAAAAATACAATGACTTCCGATGTGATTTTTTTAACTACACTTTATCTTCATTCTAGCCAACTTATTCATAAATAATGAGATGGCAGGCTGGGTTACTTTAGTAGCCTGGCTCTACACGCAAAACGGCCCAAATGACAGACCAATTTGCGGAAAATGGAGTCCAACCTACATTACATTACATGAGATGACAGGCTTCCGCTAGTGCCCCAGATTGTTCGGCCTATTACTATGGTATTGTTGGCATTACTTGTTGGGCCATAACTGTGTACATATTATACTTTGGTCGTCAAGTTGCGTATTCCAATAAAATAAAAATCTTCCCCATTTCACGCGCGAGATTTAGCGCGGGAAGGTCAGCCCGCGCCATCTTATTATTGCATTTTACTATGTAATATTATGTTATCTGTGATTTTACCATTTTTTGAACTCTTTCGCGCGTGATTCAGAGACTGTTTCATGTCATTCGCTTTTTAAAATTTCATTTTTTATTAGTTTTTATAACTTTTTGTAACTCTATAATTGTCTTTGCTCCAGTCAAATGTCCGCCATTTTGCAATAATTCATTATTATAAAAAGGCGCTAAATAACGCACGATTGGAGGACGCGGGACTGCGCTCACTGGCGGTGCGAGCGTTTCTCGTTCTCTCTGTCTACATTAACATGCTTATTCTTTCCTGCTTGAAAACCGATTCACTGAAAGAGCGTACGTGTAAAACCTACCTGCTACGTTTACATTCAGCCGCTTCCCCTGCCACTCGCGCACGAAAAACCGACAATCGAGGGAGCGCCGGGCAGCGCGAGTGGCAGCGCCAATGGCATGGGAAATGTTTCCACTCTGGCGCTACTCACTTCCCTGCTCACTTGGGCTGAGTGTAAATTAGGCAGAAATAAGTAAACAGTGCGCGGGGTGCTTTCTTGTTCTCTTATTCTGCATTTACATGCACATTCTTTCCTGAGTAAAAGCCGATTCTTGCGTGAAAGAAGGCAGCTATTAGACAGAAATAAATTAAAACAAAGTCTTAAGTAACAACTCTTTATTCTATTCTATGTACATATAACAAGATATTATACAACTAAACAATTATTACATATCTAAATTTGAAACAATGTAGTTATTTTTGGCTTGTGATTTTTTCATCGCAAATTGGATTAGATACCTTATGAAGTGATGTGATATTTTGTATACAAAATCGATTATTTCTGTTAGCAAAATAACCGGTTTTTCCATAATCGATATTATTTTCACAACCCTAATTTTACCCTTTGCCTTCAGGTTTCTTGTTTCTATTTAAATCTATACTTTATGGAATTAGGTGTCATATTGCGTAAGTTAGTTTCATTATTTAATTGATTTATACTATTGTTTAATTCCGCTATCATTAGCATGTGTGAGACCTCAGTGCGGAAATCTGTCCACCACGACTGGAAGACTAACAGCGCTTCCGGAAGCAAAGATCAGATTTCCGCATCGAATATTTGTTTTGAGTGGCGCACTGGTTATGTATATTCGAAATACAGATCCAATCAAAAGTAACGGGCAAATTGCCTGATATCGTTTAAAAAAAATTAAATATATATAACTCAAAGGTGACTGACGTAGTGATCTATCAACGCACAGCCCAAACCACTAGACGGATCGGGCTGCAATTTGGCATGCAGGTAGATGTTATGACGTAAGCATCCGCTAAGGATTTTGATTAGTCTACCCCCAAAGGGATAAAATAGGGGATGAGTTTATATAAAACTTTGTCAATTTTAAACCGATCAGGCTAAGAATTTGCATACATAAAGCTACTATGACGTAGGCATCCCCTAAGAAAAGATTTTGATAAATTCCACCTATAAGGGGATAAATTAACGCGACCGAAGCCGCGGGCAAAAGCTAGTGTTATATAAATACATTTTAAAGTGTACCTACTTAGAAACCTAAATAACAGTACCCAGTGCTACACAAATTATTACATACTACTTAAACGCCCCAGCTACGCACGGGTGCATTACAAATATTTTACGTCTTATTCTATGCGTAAAACGTATGTATTACATAAATCTTCCTCTTAAATTACTCTATCTATTCCTGAAAACTGTATTAAAATCTGTTGCGTAATTTTAAACATTTAAGTGTACAGACAGCGAGTTTATTTTATATTACACTAACGACCCGTCCTGGCATGGCATGGATACATTACGAATCTTTAAATTTCTCGACACTTATGCAGCGACACCTCATCACATCACATATAATGCTATAGTGTTGAGGAGATAACAACCGCGCTACATACACATTCAATTCAGAAAAACTGACAATATACTAAACAGATTTTTTATATAAGCCAGTTTCATTTGAACACTGTCGAATTTGTTATTGCTATGGGAGTATGGATTTAATATTATTCGTTCTTCGGTGGGGGAGGTTTCCCGCTGGCCAGGACCTTCTTCATCGTCTTCATCATGGTGGGGATCAGTCCTATATGCTTATCAACGCATTTGACTGCACATTTCTCAAAATCTATTGTGCACTTGTCAATCTGAAATAAACAGTATATTTATGAGTTTTGCTGAAGCAGACTATATAAAAAGTGGTCTGTGTGGGTGTCACCACACAAGTGACCTCTATGTCACTTGGTGTGTCAAAAAGTCAAAGAATTAAGAATTTTGCCAGTGCCTTGTTTGTACATTTTCGCGACTGTTTGTAATTTGATGAAAAACTAAACCCAGATAGAAACTAACGAAGAAAGAATTATCCGTGAAAGTACTAGGAGAAAAGATCTGCAATCCCAAATGATTCCTAAATTCACAATAGTTACACACAGTACGAAATATCAATCTGTAAAATTGTTTAATAATTTACCAATACATCTAAAAACTGTTTATAGTTTCACATTGTTTAAGTCCAGATTGAGGTCATATTTATTGAATAAGTGTTACTATTCCGTAGATGACTATTATAATACGGTCAACAATATGGTTTCACCGCCGGCAAGTCTACCACTGACGCAGGTGTAGCGCTGATAACACATATTTTCCAATCATGGGAGAAGTCACAGGATGCACTCGGAGTTTTTTGTGACCTATCAAAGGCATTTGATTGCGTGGATCATAAAACACTTTTGTACAAGCTCGAACATTATGGTATAAAAGATAATGATCTAAAATTAATGAGAACTTATTTAGAGGATAGGGTCCAAACTGTAGATATTGACGGTATAAAATCTAAGGGAGCTAATATTGGAATGGGCGTTCCACAAGGGTCAATCTTAGGCCCCTTTCTCTTTTTAATTTACATAAATGACCTTCCCTTTATGGTAGAGAAAATTGCAGATATAGTGCTGTTTGCGGATGATACTTCGTTAGTGTTTAAAATTGGACGTCAAACTAATCAATTAGACGATGTAAATTGTGCTATGTCTGCTATATTAAATTGGTTTACATGTAATAACCTATTATTAAATTCCAGCAAAACAAAGTGTATAAAATTTACACTTCCTAATGTAAGACCAATAAATACACAGTTATTGCTTAATGACGAAATAGTAAATTTTGTTAATGATACAGTTTTTTTAGGTATAACAGTGGACTAGAAATTACAATGGGGGCCCCATATTTCAAAATTGGCCAATAGACTCAGTTCAGCTGCATATGCAATTAGAAGAATTAGGCAATTAACAGACGTGGCGACGGCTAAACTTGTATACTTTAGTTATTTCCATAGCATTATGTCATATGGTATACTACTATGGGGTAAAGCAGCCGATATAAATACTATATTTATTTTACAAAAGAGAGCCATACGTTCTATTTATGGTATGGGTTCAAGAGAGTCATTACGTCAGTGTTTTAAAGATTCAAATATCCTCACCGTTACTTCACAATACATTTATGAGAATATCATGTATACACGGAAGAATTTAGACAGTTTTAGAAAACTTAAAGACTGTACAAATAGAAGCTTACGCAATAAAAATAAGCTAATTTTACCTAAATGCCGCCTGCACAAAGTCAGTAATTCATTCTATGGTAATTGCGTAAGATTTTATAATAAACTGCCAGAATCTGCACTAAATCTGACAGAGAGGCAATTCAAATCTTATATTAAACAATTTTTATGTAAGAAAGCCTATTACAGGATAGACGAATTCATAGAAGACAACATATCAAGTAAATAATTAGTTTATTAGCATACAACGTTATAATTTGTTTATCTCATTGCTTTCTTGATTCAATTATTTTAGAAATATGAAAGCGTAGCGGGTTTTGTATTAATTGCCGCATGCATTCTTATGTGAAATGTGAATACTATAAACATCAGATGGCAATTGTGAGTAGTTATGACGTGGTCTGGTGTTTTGAGTAGTCATGCTCACTAAAATGTCCAGACTTGTGGCGGCGTGGTGGGCCGGGTCATTGGGCTCCCTAAAATATGGTCGAGCGCAGTGATGGCTGGCTCATCCGTCATACTCGTGAACGGGTGCTGCTTGTAGGGACTGGTCTGCTCTAATCACTATGACTGATTTCCTCTTATTAATTGTTTAACCAGTTGGTTATGTATTCAATATTTTTTTCTTTTTGAGTATTTAATTGAATTAGTGCTAATCGGTGGTTTGTATTCACACACTTAAACTTAAATTGTAAGTAAGAATAAATTATTTAAAAGAGCAACACACAAGTTTCTTGCTTGTTCTTCTTGTGATGAGACAGCATTCCGAATGAGCGGTAGATTAAAAAAAAAAAAAAAATATGACTATTCAAAAGTGCTTCAATGTAAGTTTATTTGAATAAATGATTTTCTATTCTATTCTATTCTATAATGATGGACATAAAGACTTATGAGGACCCACTGCACTATGCTGGCTGACATACCTAGATTTAATATTTAAGTTGCAATTATGTTGTTGACAAAAATTTACTGTAATGTTGGAATTATGTTATCCTATACATTATTTAAATGTGTTTATTAATTTTAAGAATTGTTACGATTAGTTCTAATAATCGGGTTGACATGTTAAAAAACGAAACTCCCAAAATAAATTTAAATTAAAAATAAATGTCACTTTTCGCAGATATTTTTCAAGTCATCAAGCATATAATATTTTTCAACACACTTGCTCATAAAGTGGATCTAATTTCACTGGGTTTCTATAAATAAAAACGGTCATAAAACACGCGGGAGTTAAGTGTGTAGAAACGCCTAAATTACGCTTCGCAAACAACTAATATGCAACAGTTCAACAATACAAAATGTGCTTAGTACATAAGAATATAGTTGGTGGTTTGTATTTATTTGCATGTTTCGAATTGGAAATGTAAAGTTACAATATTTATTTCAAAGAGCAACACGCAAGTTTCTTGCTCGTTCTTCTTATGATGAGACATCTTTCCGAATAATGGTAGATTAAATGGATGTTATCATTCATTATGACTATCCAAAGTGCTTGAATTAAGTTTATTTCAATTAATGATTTTCTTTTCTTCTCTTCTATTCTATAATTATTTGGAGTTGTAACTTCTTTGTAAATATAAAGTTTTCTTTATAAAGAAATCCGCCGCCATCCTTCTTATTTCGTGCATTATAAACGCAAATAATGATGTTGTATTGGAAAAGCACACTATTTGCTAATTTTCAAATTTCGAATTGAAAATTCAGCCGTGCGCTGATTTAAAAAAAAGTAAAATGGCGGGAAAGCAATAGGTGGATATGAACGACTTTATTGAAAAAAAAACTGTTTCAATTATTAAAAATAAATAAAATATAATATGATTTTTTAATGATTATTTCTTGATACTCACAGTCTCTTGACTTGGATCTGGACCTAATCTGTCTCGTGCTGCGTCATTACAGTCCATTACACATCGTTGCAGTCTGTTTTGGAGATGGTTAATTTCACCCTGTAAAATAAACAGATTTCCATTACTAAACTATTTTTTTTAAATCTAACAAGCAGGCAAGGCTACCTATGTTTGTTTTTTGGTTTGGTATTTGTGTTTTCTTCAGTCAGAAAGTTCTGGAGTCAGTCAGAAATATTGGTATTAGTCAAATTAGAACTCACAACCTCTTGAGTGTGAGTCAGTGTAATAATCCAACATTCTATATACTTACATACTAGTAGCCCGGCCACAGCAGCCCAGCCATACATTGTTGTGGCTAGGGTCCTTACAAAATGGGGGGAAAGGGGATTATCAGTAATGTGGATTGATGCTCTCATTGCTAGCAATCTACCATGTCAGGTTAACCTCCACATGGTTCCCCCTGGATACCATCATGATAAATTCTTGATGAATTTGTCACAATGCGCTAACTGACCTGACCTCATGTTTACCTTATCATCCTCCACTGGTGCCCCGCCAGCGTAAACTGTTAGTGCAGGCAGGTGCACCATTTAATTGTCATTCATTGCGACTATTAATTATGATGTAATCTATCTTTCAATTTAGACATCACATTGCACACAATGTGCGAATCAAATTTGCAATTATTTCAGTAGTTTAGGAGTCCAACGCGGTTCGCGGACCAACAATATGACACTTAATTTTTATATATGTATAAAGATATGTGTACCTGAACATAATTATTGGCCTGGTTCAATGAAGTCGTGCAATTTTCTATACAGCCATGCACTCGTTCCAATGATGACTGTTGGTCATCACAGCATTTAGCTGCACAGCGGTGCATATCACCCTGAAAAATTAAAGTAATATTTCTTACATTTTTTTTTATTTTTAAAGTAATATCCTACTCTTTCTTTCTGAATACATCCTTTTGCCATACATTTTATTCCTGCATGTGCATTCCTAAATACATTTTTGTATACATTAGGGGCCAAGCAAAATTGCAGCAGATAAATTATTACTGCTGCATATGAGCACCTGCAAGTCGACAGCGTTGTGAGGAAATTAATTCAGAAAAGTCTAGTAGGAAGCAAAATGGGCATCTGGAACCAAAAAATGGAAATGTGATAATAAATTTATATTAAGTGTAATGCCAGTATTCCAAAGAGCTATGATATTTCTCAAGATGGTCATGGCCTTTTGTGCTGCATACCATAGGTGGTATATAAAGCTTGACCGTTTAGAAAATATATTATTATTATTATATACTATCACCATCTACTATCATCAAATCCAGACTACAGTTTCAGTTATCAGAACACCTAGTGTTGTTGTTTCTAAACTGTTATTTAAAACCATAAACCACACCACTGTGTCACCCTAAGCATGACATTGGCAAAATCACTGACATCATTTACTGGAAGCCTTTCAAATTAAAAGAAAAAGAAGAACTGTTGTTTTAAAGTCCATCAAATTTATTTATCTTAAATTTCTTAAATTTTAGATTACATTCATAAACTTTATTTTCCTTTGCCAGCTTTTAATCTCAAGATGATGTGTTAGGTGCTGCTTGTCACAACTAATGTTATTCATATTTGTTCATTTTTTTAATCTTTTATATAATTGGTAAACAAGCTTATGTGCCTACTCATGGTAAGATGATAAATACCTAGTGGATTTGTTATAATGGGCTAACTGATCTGACCTCATGCTCATGCTATCATCCTCCACTGGTGCTCCACTAGCGTAAACCGTTAGCGCAGGCGGGTACACCATTCCATTATTATCCACTTAAAAAGAATTGACTATTTCCATGAATAGCATTATGAGAGCTATACGTTGCTATTCCAGAAGACTAAAATGTCATGCCTCTTATATCTTCTCTGCTTATCGCTCTCTTCAACCGAAACAGCTTACAAAAGAAACTGATTGGCGGTTAAAATAGATGAGACAAAACTACTATTTGTCTAACCTATTTTAGCCGCGAGTTAACTTGAAGAGTTTCTATAAAGACTACCTCAATAAATTATTATAGTTTTTTCTATTTGTAGTATCGGTATTACCAATTATTGCATAATGCACTGGAAGCATGGATCATCATAACCTCACTTACTTGCATTCGCCTTAGATAACTCCTGTCCAACTCGTTAACCAAGTTGGTCATCTCCTGTTCTATCCTATATTTTTGTGCTTCAACCATTTTGATGGATTTAATTTATAAATATTATTAAAACATTAAATTTAAAAGAAAAATAAATTGAGCATTTGACAAAATGACAGTCGGCAACACAGAGTAGTTTTCTCTCTGCAATTTTGTGTTTGACGTTTTACTGACAATATGACATTGACACTATTTTCCAAAAGCAAAAAAGTATACGGCCTAATATTCTAAATAATAATAATAATAATAATAATCATTTATTCAGCATCATAATACAGAGTAAAAATATAGAAAACTTAAAACCTAATATCTGAGCTGAAAGGGCCTACACTCAGCAGGTGCTACAACGTGTCACTTTTTTTTTTATACCACTTAGGTGGCAAACAAGCATACGGCCCATCTGATGGTAAACGGCTACCGTAGCCTATGGACGCCTGAAACACCAGGGGTGTCACATACGCGTTGCCGACCCTTAAGAAACCTTAATATACATTTCTTGAAAACCCCCATGTACCCCATGTACCCCCATGTCACTGTAGCGCTGATGATAAATGAAGGGACTCTACTTGTTACCTAAAGAAACTGTATACTTTCATACAGAGTTTCATGTATGTAGTACCAAACTAAGATTTAGAAGGACCATAACAAACTAAAGGTTGGCTATTGATGGGTTCAATATGTCATCACCATTTGGCAAAAACCGCCAGCTTCAGAAAGTACAGTAGGTACCTAAGTACAGGATTAAATCATGATCCACGAAGTGCAATAAAAAAGTAAAAAAACAACACATTTTCGAATGCTTACGATTTTTAATCAATGCATAGGAATATCATTTACAGTATAACAGGTTTCACAAACGGCACCAATTCGGAATACAAAGGTGTTGCCAGCTTTGAACAGCTGCACGGCGGGGTGATGGGTACATAAGCGCCACCACAACCGCAGTTATATGTTGAAGCAACTAATGGTCCAGCTGCGGCCTCGTAACCCAATCCGCATGGTAATTCCGGTATTACTGGTGGTAATATCACCTCGTAGTTAGATTTACACGCACATGGTGGTGCAAACGTTTCGACGAATGGCAACACCGGTTTCGTTATGATTGGAAGTCCATTCGGAATGTAAATAGCTGATGCTACCTGAAAAATATAAAATATATTTTAATTTGATATTGTTTCAAAAACGACTATGAGATCGTATAAATCTATTATTTTCTAAACGTTACTTGTAATCTTACTTATACACCCATATCTTAAACCTATCCACCAAATGAGAGAGAAGGGAGGGTTACACAAAACAACAGCATTCTTCAACCCATACATTGACGCTATTACGCTATTATATATCAACATATTAGGTATGTGAAAAGTTTACTCTAATCACTTCTATGGTTTTAACGAACAGATAAACAAATTAATTCTTTAACCAATAGATAGCCACGTCATTTGTGAGTGTCAAAGTCTATATATTAACCCGAAAACTGAAAATACTTTTTCGAAGTATCCGGAAATGTATATCGGCCAACGAAGTGGGCACGAGTCCGATAGTATTGTATAATATTAGGCAACTGGGGGGTTGGATTGTTAGTAATGTAAATATTATTCGTGTTATTTATGTTAAATGTTGTGTTATTTATTGTTAGTAATGGTACCATTGCTCGCAATGTACCATGTCAAGTTTCACGTAGTTCTTCTAAGAAACCGTCGTGATAAATTCCTGGTAAATTTGTCACAATTGGTCAATTGACCTGACCTTACTCATCCTTTTATTTTTGATTGGTGGTTTAACAGCGCAGGAGAGTGCACCATTCTAATATAATCCATTAAAAAAACTGCTTATTTGTATCTTTTTAATTAAAAGAGGCAATGTTTGTGACTCTGGATGTTCGGGCTAATCTCATCTGCTACTATAATTTTTTTTTAAGCAATACGATTTATCGACCAAAAGTTATATAGAATTACTCTCCGAATAAGAGTGTATCTGCAATGAAAAATATTGTAAAATGGGGAAAATATCCCGCTAACGATGTTTCACAAGTCAGCTATGTAACAATAAATTTAAACTTTGATTAATAATTTTGAAATTAACAATGCTTAGTTGCAAAATAATCGATCGGTAGTTATCTAAAAATGACGAAATATTGATTTTATTATTTATACTAGGGTGACGGCACCAATAATGAACAAGACCCTTTTATGGACACTTAAAAAATAATAATTAAATATTAAGCTAGAACACACTTATTTTTGCTCCAGCAACACCTTAACTCAAACGTCCACCTTTTAGCTGTCATAATGTCAAATGTCATCGAAAACGGCCATTTTGCTTCAAAATGGCTGACCGTTAAATTTGTCGTGTTGGTTGTCGCAAACAAAAATCTGTTTTTATTGTGAAAATCGTTAAGAGAGTGAGTATTGTTTTTTGAAAATTACTTCAATGTCTTTGTTGTTTCCTGTACAATCATGTTATTTTACTTAAAGTTAAAGGATTTTAAAAGAAAATTAAAATTAACGTAAACCGGTAGATTCAATATTTTAATATTTTTTACGAGATGTTCATTACTGGTTTCTAGATTATCGAAACCTCTAGTAATGGACATGTGTCGAAAGTTAACTTTTAGAGTATTTTGTGAGAATGTCGCTTAAAATAATTCTTTATGTCATAACAATTATTTATTTAGTCGTGATTTTTATTTTGGACAACTTCTACCAGTAATGAACATGTGTCCAAGATTGGATATTTTTTTTGTGTCTATAATTGGTACCACTGGATTTCGTAGATGGCGCCAAAAAAAGATTACACCCCTGAGCAGATGGGGCAAGCTGTTGAAGCAGTCAGACAGGGAGAGAAGATTGCTACGGCACCAAAGAGGTGGGGTGTTCCGCGTATTACAATATATAATAAAATATCGGGCAAAAGTCCTTTGGAGTGTGCAATGGCGCCACAAACAGTTCTTTCAAAAGCCGAAGAAGACATTTTAGTGAAATGGTTAGTAGCAATGAGCGAAAAACATTTTCCAGTAAATCGTGAATTATTAATGGAAAGCGTACAAAAAATAATTGTCGAGCAAGGAAGACCTAGTCCTTTTACTAATAATAAGCCAGGGAAAAAATGGTTTCAATCTTTTTTAAAGAGGCACCCAGATGTCGTCGAGAAAACCGCGCAAAATCTTTCCAAATCGAGAGACGATGTGTGTGAAGAAGCTTTGCGAAAATGGTTTTCTGAAATCGAGTCATATTTAGAACAAAGAGGCCTCAAAGACATTTTGAAAGATCCAAGCCGAGTTTTTAATACTGATGAAAGTGCTTTCTTTTTGTCACCAAAAGCAGGCCGAGTGCTTTGCAAACGGGGTGAAAAACACCTTTATAACTTTAGTGGAGACGAAAAAGAGAACCTTACTGTTCTTGTAACAGCTAATGCTTCGGGACAACTTGCTCCCCTATGATTGTTTTCAAATATGAAAGAGTACCGGCGCACATATCAGCGAGCGTTCCCGGTGATTGGGGAATAGGAAAATCAGAATCGGGGTGGATGTGCGGAAGCACCTTTTATGAATTTATCACAAATATTTTCGATCCTTGGCTACAACAGGAAAACATACAAAAGCCTGTTGTATTTTTCTTAGATGGACATAAATCACACCTAACGTTGCATTTGTCAAATTATTGTTCAGAACATGGCATAGAGATAATAGCATTATACCCGAATTCGAAACTTCTATTGTGGAATCTATTAGTGACCCTTTGCCTTTAAATAAGAGAGGATTTTTCAAAATTAAGGAAATGGGGAAATATTTACCCGATTTGTATCTATTATATATATTGAAGTATACTTGAAGTGGAATTGTTTTATATTAAATTGTTTATTAGTTTTAAGAGCAAAGAGTTAAGATATCTTATAAATGAAAGTTAAACTTGAAGTGGAATTCTTTTATATTAAATTGTTTATGTTTATTAGTATGAAGAGTACGTAATATTTCTTTTATGGGTAAGTTGCTAAAGACTGAAAAGCCTACTTTGAAAAGTCGAATGATTAAAGACTGAAAGTAACAATGTTTTTATTTAATCCATCTTCCTTTTGACAAACTTTTATTTAATTTCCTGTCAATACTATTGATAATACATATTCTGTGTCCATAAATGGATGTTCTTAATTGGGGATACATAGTTCAGGGATAGTCCATAATTGGGTGTCCATTACTAGATTTCAGATGTGTATCACTGGGGTTTAGCGATCTCCTATTTTTTCTATTTTTTTTGCAAAATGTATCGGTTTGTAGTAAACAGTAGTAAGTTTACTGTATTCTTTGTTTATTAATATATTTGCCTACTAACTGTCATCCATGTTCACTCAAAAAATCTGATGTTATTCAAAGAAACAAGAAATCGTCTGCTTAAAATGTCCATAATTGGTGCCGTCACCCTATTTTAATTGCGTAAATATGTTCTATCGACTGCGAATGATATCGTTTTAAAATTGTTTTCTTTTTATTGAGGCGGGATTGCACGTGCGGACTAATCTTTTAAAATTAATCTATGTATGGAGTGTAGATGAAGAAACTGTTGCACAGATTAATACAATAAATAAACATTTGTAGTGACGCGAGACAAATATGCACGAAGCTGGGGCGAGTGTATATTAAAAAAAAACAAAAAAACTTACATGAAATACGACGAGCAAAGGAAACAATATTTTAGATGCCATGTTGAATTCACCTCAGTTGACACTGGCCTATTTTCCGTTTTACGCATATATATTATTTCCTATATGGATGTTTGCGTAATTAGTTCGTGACCAACAGGTAATTTAAGTAATGTTTGACCTACTTTGCGTAATGGATGAATAGATGTTGACACAGTTTTCCTGGCCTATCTAAAAAATAGGTATTAGGAAATTGTTTTTCATATATTTCATATGCTTAATAACAGCACATAGCTACTTAATAACTTCGATTACTATGTGAGACTGTCGTATCGTTGTTAACTTCGGTGGTCTAACGGCTTAGCACACCGCTTTATTTCCGATGGTTGCAGGTTCGATTCCTCGCACGGTACAAACATTTGTATTCATTATTATGATTCTTTGTATTTGTCTGAGTATTTTCTATGTATATTATGTACGTATTTACCA